CAGTTTTTATGTATGTATGTATTTTCATTAATTTTAATTTATTTTTGAAGAATTTCAGGTTTTTAATAAAAAAAAAACATGTAATTCACTTTTTATAAAATTTTGTTAAATTTCAAATTGGATGTAAAAAATAAAACTATTAAATTTTCTAAATATTTTCTCTAAAATATAATTGCTTATAAGCAATGCAACATTTTCAAAATAATTTCATTATTAATTTTAATTTTTCTTTTTAATTATACTTAAAACAATATTATATTTTTTTTTATTTAAGTTCGGTTTTCATTCTAAATATGTTTTTGTTTTTTGTTAATTTTATAATATGCGATAATTCTAAATATATGAAGTTCAAAATAAAAAAAAAAAATTTTTTTTTTTTCTTAAATGCAGTCAAAAATATATTTTTAAATTACTCTATTTATTATTTTATATAAATATGTATTATTAATTTATTATAAAATTTTATATCAAATAAAAAAAAGTTTTTATTATTGCATTTTAAAAAATTTACAATATTTTTTTCTTTACGATTTGTTTTATTGCAATATAAAAGACTTTTTTTTTCATAAGGCCACTTGTGGTGAATTTTTAATCCTTAAAACTGTTTAAAAATAAATTTTGTTCATTTAATTAATTTTTTTTAACGAAATTTACAACTTTCATAATTTTTTAATTATTAATTATAAATTAAAATCAATTTCAAATAGAATAAAAAATTTTTGGTGCAGTGAAAATAATTTATTTAACTAAACGTAGATAAAGTTTAACTGATATACTGAAAAAGTCTAAATTAAATTTAATTTTTAATTTTTTTTTAATTTCATTCAATTTTGTTATAAATTCTGAATAAACTGATAACAAATTAGACAAAACTTCAAATAACTCTTAGTAATTATTGTATCCTATAATAGCAGATAAAATTGCAAATGATATAAAATAGAAAAAATTTGTATAGTAATACTCATCGGTTTGTGTAATTAAATTCTAAATGTTTTAATTTTGTAATTCGAACTTGTACCATCATTTGAATTTTTTATATTTGTACAAAATGAAAATTTCTTTTTTAAAATTTTTTGATAAATAAGGTATTAAAAACATGAATGTACATTTAAATTATATTTGAAATTGATTTTTCTTAATTCAAAAAATTATTAAAAATTTATCAAAATTTTGTTATACAAAAAAGTTTTACTAATATAAGTAATTTTAGTTTTTAAAATCTAATAACATCTTATTTTATATTTAAACTTAAACTACGTTTTTATTAATAATTTCTTGAATGAAAATTAATATTTGAATATAATATGTAAATATATTCAAAAATATATTTTGTTTACACATAAATATATATGTTAATAAATTAAAAGAACAGATATTATTTTCTTATAATTTTCATTAAAAGTTTAAAATAAAAGATCATTTATTCTTTTTTAAATAATTATTATTTAATTATCTATTAAAATATATTAATTAAATGAAAAATTTGCTGTAATAGAATTGATTATTCAAATATTAAATCTTCATTCAAAAATATTTTTAAATAAAACAAATTCTAAAATTAACGACTGCAAAGAAAACAAAATTCGAATATTATTGCTTTATTTTTTTTTTCATTCATATCGTAACGTTTATTTGATACATCTATATTATATTTAAAGTACATAAAATATCTAAAATAAATATTAAACATTTGTTTTTTTTTTTTATTTATTTTTTTTTTTGTTTATTTTTTCGTATTATATTTCTTTGGTGCTATAAGTAGCCTCCGATAAAATGCTTTATATTTAATTTCTTTAATATCTATTTTGCATTATTAGGTTAAATGAAAAATTAATTTGAAAGAAAAAATAATTTTTTATTAAATCTGACAAAATCTATGAATTAGATTTATATGAGACCAGTTTGGATAGGAATTAAATAAAGTATAAGAAAAAGATTAAATGGATATTTATTTTATTGGTTTTTATTAATTAGAAATGAAATTGTGTATCAATTTATGGACGTGATCTTGTATATAGCCAAGTGAAAACAAGTTGAGTAACTATAATATTTTTGGTATAATGTAATTTTCGAGTGAGGAGATAATTACCGTATCGCGTATCTCATATATTCTTTATTCATTATAAAATATTTATTTTTAAAGGTGATAGATAGGTTTATTCGAAAAATTTGATAAAAATTCAAAAACTCAATTAGTAGTTTTGTTAAAAAAATGAATTATTTATTAGAAAAAAGAAGAATTAATATTGAACAAAAAATGAGATATGAAAAAGTGAGATACACGATTAAATTGTATATGTAATGTTCCTGTTTGAAAATATTTTGCCGAAAATAGTTAATCTTGAAATTCCACACTAAATTTACTTAACATATTTATTTCCAAGAAGCATTTAGTTTACCAAGAAGTTTAAGATACAAAAATATATTTATAATATTTTTTAAGCATAAAAATGTTTTGATTTTATGCACAAATAATTCTTAATAATGTATAAGTTGTTTAAAATATCCTAGTGAAGTTTATATGTATTGCCTTATTATTGAACTTAATTAACACTAGAAATTTTATCTGGATTAATTAGGAAGTGAATTTGAATTTCTTATTTTCATATTTTTGAAAATTTATATGTAATTAAGGACCTTTTCTTTTTTTGTGGAATTGTTTATATACTTTCAATTAATTTAAATTAAATTTAGTTTTTCACTTGAACTCTAATTGAATCAACTTGTATTGGAAATGATAAATAGTAATGAATTCAATTATATAATGGAAATTAAAGTAAGAATCGGAGGTTAAATTAAAAATGTTATTATTAAAGTAAGAAAAAAAAATGAACGAAAAGATAAGAATAAAATAATAAATAAATAAAATTAGAAATTAACAACAAAATTAAAATAATAATAATAATATTAATAAAATTTTAATATAAATAGATTAAACAAGTATAGGTTGCCTTTTTATTTACATATGAATATATATATATATATATATTTATATATTTATATATATATTTATATATTTATATATAAATTTGAATGTATGTAAGAATTTTGGTTTCTTTATTTCATGTTTTTTTAAGATTTTTTTTTTCCCCAATTTTATATTTCACACTTTTTTTTTTGGATGATCTGGAAGACATGAATTTTGTTTTCTGAAAATTTTTTCTCATTTGTTTTTATTATATTTTATATTATTTTTCTTTATTTTTAACTTACTTATTATGTACAAAAATTGCACTTTTATTAATTTTTTAATATTTTTTTAACTATACTATAACTTAATTGGCAACTTAGTATAAATTGATGCAGATATATATACGTTATTGTTATAAATATTATTAATTTATGTTGAAAAAAAGAAAGGATGTATTTATTATATTCAACATTTTGTAAATTTTGGAAAGCTAATTTATTTTAAAATGAAACAAAATTGATGCTGAAACAAATGTTTCTTTTATTGATGATGATATAAAAATATATGCATATTTATTAGTAGAGGCTATTAACTTGACTATTAAAATTGATTGTAATTGCCATGAATGTTACTTAATTACAATAATCTTTAAGATGATTCAATCTATTAATTTATCATGTTAAAAATATGTTATGTATTTATGTATGTTATTATTTTAATTATATACGGGTTTTTTAAATTAAAAAATTTTAATTAAAAATTATGTTATTTTTTTTTTTTTTGTTACAATCTATAACTCATATTCTATATTATGTGTTTACTTTATGATTTCTATATGTACAAAAAAATTTTTTTTAATAATATTTTTGGTCAAATAATATTTTATTTCTATTTTTTATTCTATTCAAATTATTTTGTAATTAAAAATATAAATTTTATTTTATTATAAATTGTAGTTTTTAATTAATAAGAATAACATTCATGACAAAAGCTTTAAAAATAATAAAAGGATTTGAATGAGATGTCCCAATACGATCAAAATTAGAAACTTATTGTTGACCTTCTGCCGGTTAACTTAAATTCGGAAATATTTGTTTTTCTATTAATTAATTTATACTGGTTTATTTTCAATAAATCTGGAAAAATATACAACCATGATATATTTGTTTCGCGAAATATTTGTTCAAATTTTATTAATTAACATAAATGTACGTTACACACTTATCATAATATTGGTCTTCGTACGTTGATTATCAATTTAATTCAATAAACCTGATATCGATAATTCTGATTTTATTTAAACTGTAAACTAACAAAAATTTATTGTGGTTTTGCAAATTACTTGTATAAAAGGCGGTTTTCATATAACACTTTTTTATAGATTTTATTTGAATTCGCATCGTAGAGATCTTACTACATTTGAAATTTCGTTTCTTGCTAATTATTATATTACTATATGTTATTTGATCGTAAATCATGATTTATTTGTTTTTTTTTTTAATGAAATTTATTATTTAATAAAATGAAGCAAAATAATTTTGAACTTTTCATTTAAAACTCAATTATAAGTTTTCTTAAAAACTGTATGCAATTTAAATTTTGTTTTTATTTTAATAATAAAAAAAATATATTAATTTCATTTAAATAAACTAAATTTAACGTAAAAATAATAATGTTAATTTAAATTCTTAAGTATAAACTTTAATAAAAAATTTAAAGTAAAGAAAAACAGATAACAATTTTATGTTCATAAATTATGCATTATATGTACATATATCTTATATAATATACCTATATATATATATATATTTATATACATATGCATGTATATTATATATATATATACTTTTGTTTTCATTTATTCTAAAATTTAATATGTTTATTTAAATATAAAAATTATTAATAACATTATTTATAAGCGAAATTATATTAAGAATTATACATAAAAGTTAATAATATTAAAGTATTATTATATAAAAAAAAAATGTGATATTAAAAGAAACTTAATTTTCTTCTAATTTTCATTATATACATAAATTATACACAAACAAATATATAAAAAAAAATAAAAAGTTCAAAAAAGAGAAAAAACATTGGAATATTGGAAACCATTAACCATTTCCATGTAACGTTTTTACTAATACATATTAAATAATATTATTTAATTAAAAATGAATTTAATAAATAATCGATTAAAGAATATTTTACAAATACTATCTTGTATTCGTTAACTATTACTCTTTGTCAGTACAGTGAAGAAATTGTGGCGGGAAAATTATATAAAATATTAAAGATACATTTAATTATTTATATTGTTAATACATATTTTTTATAAAAACAAAATTTATTTTACTGCGCTGTAGTCGGCGTTGACACTTTACTTGTTATCAGAGATGTTAGAGATGAAGCTATATTATCAGATGAACTTGTTGTAACTGCTGATGATGAATTCTCTTTATCCCATTTACTTAAAGATTGTGCCTCTTGGTTGTTATTGTTATTGCTATTACCGGAATCACTACCAGCTTTGCCCGGAGGTGATGTTACACTATCGTTTTTATTAATGTGAGGCACTACTTGACCCGTTAGCGCTGATGACGGATTCTCAATTTTATGTATAATTTTTACATGAGCTGTCATATTATCCTTTCTTGTAAATTCTTTAAAGCAAAATGGGCATGGATAAACTTTAACATTTCGTTTATGTGATGTGACATAATGTCGACAGAAATTGCTTATATGGGTGTAAACGCGAGAACAAACTTTACAACGATATGTATGATCACCTTCTTTGGTACAAAAGTCTCTAACAGAACCTTCTGAATCATCTATAATATATTTGTTTGATCGTTGATTACTTCCGCTGTTATTATTATTGTTGTTGCTATTATTATTATTGTTATTATTATTATTGCTACTATTATTAGCATTAGTATTATTATTATTGCCACCACCACTTTCAGATTTTACACTACTGGAATCAAATTTTGAACTACTATTGCTATTATCTCCAACTGCATTTAATCCACCAGATGGTACAGGCGATGCAATACTTCCGCCACTCGTATTTAATTGTTGACTTTGCTGACCGGAAACAACTGGTTTAATAGGTGATGAAGCAGACAACAAATTACTTGTGAATAAATCAATAAAGTCGTTGTTGTTGATTGGCTAAAAGAAATAATATTGTTGTAAATATATATATATATATATATATATATATATGTACACAAAAGCTAAATGCTTTTTGTAAATTTACGTTAATATGTATTACCTGTTTTAACTGATTTGGATTCAAACCATTTTGTTTCAATTTTGGACGTTTAGATAACTTTGGCATATTTTTTCCAGCTCCCGAATTTTGGGTACTCCTACCGGTATTATTATTAGAAGTATTTCCAGAAGCAGATACTGCAGATTTAATTATGGGAGTTAACTTTGGTATACCAGCTAATTGATTGATTAGATTTAAATTTATGCCTGGTACAACTCCAGCAGCCCCAATTAACGTATTTTTGATAAGTCCCAAGCTTTCTGGTGTTAATTGGGGTATCTGTGGTGTTTGAATTTGTTGTTGTGGTGGAGTTTGTTGATTATTATTATTATTACTGATATTGTTGTTACTATTATTATTAATATTACTAGTGCTGTTATTTGTATTATTATTATTATTAGCAGTTGAATTATTATTATTATTATTATTAGTATTATTATTTTTATTACTATTGTTATTATTATTGTTGCCATTATTGCCACTTTGATTTGTTGAATCTGCATTAGGATCAAATTTAAATTCGACAGGTTCATCATATTCATCTAACATTAATTGTGGTTCCATATACGATGATGGGTCCATTTGTTCATCAGAATCACTATCATCTAAAATTATTTTAATATATTAAATAAATTATTTATTGTATGTATTTTTATTATGTTATTCATAAATATATGTATTTATTATTGAAAATGAAATGCTGTGTTTGAATTCTAAATATTTTAGCTATTCATGTATGTTTTAATGTTTTTGAAAAAATGAGGTACTCTTTAAGAAAATAAACATTACTTATTATAAATATTAAAAATGAAAATTTGCAACATAACTGCAATTAGCTTTTTATGGTCAAATTATATTTACTATTTATTACTTTTAATTTAATAAAACCATAAATTAAATTATAAAACTTAAATTTCAGTTTTATTAATAAAATTATTTTAACAATAATAGTTAATAATGAATGTTTTATAATTCAAACAGCACATTCATAATTAAAATCAAGAAAATCAGGAAAAGCTATAGGGATTTAAAGCCATTTTGTTTGTAACTAAAATATAAAAAAAATTAAAAAACAAAATTTTGTGTTCAATTTTATTTATTTTTTGTGTCCTTTTGATTTGTAGTTTTGGTTTTGTTTTTTTTTTTAGAAAAATAATTTCTGTTTTATATTATTTTTAAAAAAATAAAAAAAAAAATAAAATAAATATTAAAAAAAAATTATTTTAAATACTGAGATAAAAAAAAAAATTATAAAAAAATTTCACGTCGGCCAAAAATCCCTATGCTCATTCCGATTATTATTTAAAAGGAAAAAAATAAAAAATTCAAAATAAATCTGTTTGCCTTTAGTCGTTTTTATTTTTAAAATTTTAGCATTAAAAAAAAAGCATGAAATATTTATGGACATAAATATGTATGTATATATTATGTATATAAAAAAAATTCTATTAAAAATTTAATAAAAGAAGTATTAGGAATATAAAATCAATACAACCGATTCTTTTAAAGGACATTTAATTAGTAGTTATGCAGTTATAAAATTTTTGATTTTTAAATATTTCTTTTTAACTAAGAAAAAAAAAACATAAGCGACTAATATTAATGTCCACTAAAGAATTGAATAATAAATATAAAATATTTATAATTCCATATATTAAATTTAAAATAACAAATTTATGTATGTATGCATGTATATATGTAAACAAACTAAAAACGAAAACAGAATTATTTCATTTTCCTTCCTTACTTTTAATTTCTTTAGAATATTTATTGCCAATGGGAACTCACCTGCCGACGGAAATTCGAAAAAAAAAAAAATAATAATTTTCTCTTTTTATTTATAATTGTGATCATTATTAAAGTGTTCATTTCATCTTTAAAAATTTTTAAATTACTTTCTTTATTTACTTTGTATTCTTTTTTTATTTTATCACAGAATTGAACGTTATTTTATTTTATTATAACACTTAAATTTTCTACCGTATTTATTTGATACGTGTTCGTGTTTTGATTTGTATATTATTAAATCCCTTTTAGCTTTTCCGATATATTAAAAAAAATATTCATTTATATAAATAAATATATATTACATAAATAAATAAATAAATAAAAAATTATAATTAAAACTTAAAATTATAATTTATAATTCTAAATGGTGTAGAGGTAAATTTTAATTATCACTTTTTAAAAAACAAATTAATATTCTAGGTAAATAAAATGAAATAATCGTAAAAAATCCGTAAAAAGATTTTGCTTAATTAAAATTATTTTAAATATTAATAAATTTGTAAATCGTATTGCAAAAAAAAAAATTATTTGAATTGTTCCCATTATTTTTTTTTTTAATTTTTACGTTTGCATCCTCTTTCAATTAACATATTATTTATTAAACTTTAATAGCAATTAAAAATACTAATAGCATTTTATATTTAAATGATAAAAAATTAAATAATATTTTTCTTAATTAAATTATTTAATAAATATTTTTATATTAAAAATTAAAAAAAATTTATATTTAATTATTTATAAAATTTTATATAAGCAAAATCTACGCAAAAAGAAAATTAATTAAAATTACTTTATGGAAAAATAAAAATTACTTCAACCCATAAAAAGCTATAAAAATAATAATAATAAAAAACAAAGAAAAATATTTTAAAAAGACTTACCAGAACTATTTTCACTTCCATCCTTTCGTAATGTTGATGTGTCCTTTGATTTAATTGAGCTTGTTGATGTATCCATTGGTTCCTAAAAATTAATGTAATAATAAATTATATTTTCATTTACAAAGCTATAAATTAAAATTAAAAAAAATTCAACTACAAGATATATAATATGGCATTTAATAAATATGGGTAGACGTAATAAGGATAATTAAAATTCAACTAATTAAAATGTTATTAATCGGAATATTACAAAGAGCTTTAAAGAATTTAATAAAAGCATTATAATCTGTATAACATTATAATCTATGTATAGTATACTTAATTTAATATTGAAATATGTAGTTTTTGGAATTTAGTGAAAAAGATTTAAAAAAATATTTTTTTCGTTAATAGTGTATTGCTCATAAATTATAGAATTCTTTTCATTAATAATTTTCAATAAAAATACTACATTTATTACAATTTTAATTTAAATTGAATATTTTTTTACTTAAATTTTATATGCAAAATAGGTGTATAGAACAAAAACATTGTTTTAATTTAAAAAAAAAAAAAATTTATACAAATTATATAATGCTAATGTGCATACATTTAAAAATATTAATTTATAAGGGGATTTTCGATAATTCAGACATTCGCTGAATATTCTAAATTTAAATTTAAAAAGTCTTTTCTCGTATACTTACAAAACTGCACAAACTAAATATTTAATTTTTGCAGGTTTGTCTTCGAGTAATTTTTCGTGTACAATGTTTATCTATTATACTTGTTATTTATAATATTTCTTTTGTCTCTTGTAATTTATAATATTTTTGCAGTAGCTATAAAAAAAACTTAGAAACGCCTTTGGAATTTTAAGCATAAGTATGGAGTATTTTCAGATTTCACAGTTTGAATTTATCGAACGTCTTTTATATTTAGTGATCTAAGAATAACTGAATTATCAAAAATCCCTTATTTTAACAACTAACAAATAATATTTATTCCTATAACACATACATCTTTATCATTATTTCCAGCGTCTCTTAAATTGTCTTCAGATCCTTCATTTCCAGAAAAATTATCGTTAGTTATTCTTGCATCAAGCATTTCTGGAGAATCCTAAAATATTAAAAAAAAAAAAAAAGTTCTATATTAGAATCTATACAGAATTTAAATAACAATTACGATTAAGTTTCTAAATATCATGTAAAATTATAAGTGAAAAAAATTTAAATTTTAAAATAGATAACAAATATTTTTTTTAAACTTACTTGCATAACATTATCACGATCGAATTCATCGAAATCATTACCGGTACCATTTGAACTACCAGATAATTTCCGAGGGCGTCCCCTTTTACGTTTTGGACCAGATAAAGCTGATCCTAATAATGGACTATTCAATAATAAACCAATATTTTGTCCAACAGGATTTGGATTAACACCACTTAATAAATTGTTACCAGTTGTATTACCACCAACAATATTTCCTGTAATCTTAATTTGTCTTTGTGCTGCTGCTGCAACAGCTTGTTGTAAATTTTGTTGTTGTTGTGATGATTGCTGTTGCTGCTGCTGTTGTTGTTGTTGTTGTTGCTGTTGCGGTTGAACTAAAAATGGTGATGGTTGTATTCTATGTAATTGTGGTGGTGGAGGTGATATTGCACGATTTATATTATTATTATTAATATTATTACTATTAAGATTAGTATTGTTATTAATTGTATTATTATTATTATTATTATTATTATTATTATTATTGTTATTATTTGTTATTGGTTTATCATCATTAACTTCTGTTAATCCTTTTATTCTTAGTGTTTCTGCTACTCTAAGGAATGCAGTTAAACGTTCCTGATCAACAGAAACTTCACCACGATACATAAAATCTAATAAACTTTTCATATCTGTATATGGGACGTCTTTTAATATAACAATTGGATGTTTTTCTTCATGATTTATAAATAATGCATTAAAATATGGACTGCAAGCTGATAGAACCATTTTATGTGCTTTTAAATATTGCCCTTCAACGGCCAACGTTACATCCGTAAATGTTTCAGCATGTAATAATTGATCAAATACTGTTAGCATATTACTTTGATGGTTATTCCATCTTAAACAAAATCTTTGAGAAGCCATTTTTTTTTTTTAATTTTTATAATATTATATTGCTTTGTTGGTAGAAATTTTATATTGTATATATATGTATTTGTAGATAATTTTGATTTTAATTTGTATAAGTCTTTAAAAAATTTGTAAAAATATTTTTTGTTTTTTTTGTAGAAAAATAATTTTTTTTTGTTTTATTTTTATATATCTTAAAATTTCATATCAAAATTGATGAATTTCTTATAATTATTAGAGTCTTATTGAGTTTCACGAAAATTTATTGAATAATAAATATCTGGAAAGAAAAAAGAAAATTTTGATATTAATTAAAAGATTAAAATTATTGAAATAAAATTAAATACTGAATTAAATTTTTGAATTTTATAAATATTTTTAAAAGAAAAATGACTTTTTTTTTTTCAAAAGAAAATTTGATTTTAAAATGAAAACAGAAAGATTTTTAAAAACTGTTATATTTATTTTCATATTAACTAAACAAAGTAACTTATTGCCTTATTAATTTTGGATTAACTCAAATCTTATGAATAATCCCAATCGATCCTAAATAATTATAGCATATTAACACACGTTAGAATTTTGTTTAAAACAATTGAATTTTTAGTTTTACATTTATAAATTCCAATTAAGTATACATGTAAAATATAATCTTTATTAAAAAATTATATTTATTTACCAATAAAGTTCAGTTAATTTTTATTGAAAATTTATTGGTTTTACATTTGTTTTAAAATAATTTACAGAATTGGTTTGATAATTTAGTCAAATTGTATACGTATAATATACATATATGAAAAATAAGTATGCATTCATAGTATACCCTACAATGTATTGTATGTATATTTTTGTATAATACACACAAATTTCTATGTCACAATCACAAAATAGTTTAATTTTCGTCCATATTGTTTTAGTCGCATAACTTAACGTGATGGGTTGAAACTCACAAATATTGTAATTTTCTAAATAAAATAATTTCAAAAATTCGAAATTCTATATTGAAAACTAAAATACATTTTAATAATATCGCTTCACCTTAAATGATACGACTAACATAATATGGGTGTTTATCTTATAATTTTAACAAAAAATCTATGCTATACATACATATGAATGTGCATTCAAATTATATTTTCTATGAAATATTTGTATGTATACATATAAGAAAAAATCAAAAACAGGTTTCAATTGAATGTTTTTTTTTTGAATTGAATTTAGAGAATCATAGTAAATTTTTTCCACAAGTTTGAATGATTATGAACAAAAAAATCTATAATGATTTTATTTGAATTGAATTAAGAATGTCATGTAAATGAATACATCATGTCCTCATATTAGAAGGTTCTAGGTTTTTTTGTTTAAATTTTTTAATCAAGAACATACGTGGGTATAAGATCAACGAACAAACAAACATGTAAAAATACTTAAGAGAGTAATTTGCTCAAACTATACGAGAAAGAGACAAGATAGTTTTGTTGTACCTATATTATTTTTTATATTATTAAATAACTATTACATACATTTTACATCAATTCGAAATTTCACGAGCTCTTAGCATTTCCAACCCTCTTTTATAGCTTATTTTTTAAATAATAATTAAGAAGTTTAATAGGATAAGTACAAATTACTCAACACAAAATATAAAAAATTTCCAAGCGAAAATGCAATACTTAAGTGAGAACAGGAAAATAAAAAAAGAGAAATTTGCTCAATAATCAATATTAAATAGAATAGTATGTACTTAGCTTTTGCATTTTAAAGTACATTAGAAAAAGAAGGCAATTTTTATGTATTAAAAAGCTTCTTATTCTGGCAATTCATATTTTCTTCAAATAAAATTATACTATATAATAATATTACTCGTATGTTAGCACAATAGTAAGTTCACAAAATTATTGTACATGTATGCATATGTAAATTTTATTATAATTTATGATGAGTAGGAGAGGAGAAATAAAATATGAGAAAATTATTTATTAAGTATTTAAGTATTTAAGTATTTAAGTAGTAAATGTGTTTTATCTTAACAAAAAAAAAAAAAAACTAGTTACTAACACATTTTAAGGAATTCTAGATTAAAAGCAAAAAAATATAAAAAAAAAATATTTGTATTACTTATGTTAATTGGAACAACAGGTTATTTGACAGTATATGTACCTGTGCATTAACATACATTCATGTTATATTGAAATAATGGTACATACCAAAATACATTAGAAATTAGACTATTCGGCACATAATATTATGTTAAATACACTTTCATAGTTTTTTATAATAAAAATTCTAATATTTTAATTTAAAAACAACAGGCAACAAATTTTCAACTGTTGTGGATATGTGCACAAAATACACATATACATATGTACGTGTATATATTGAAAGGAATTAATTATTTCGTTTTATTTTTCCTTATTTTCTAAATATTTGATTGCGACTTTAATACCTACATATACCTATTATATTCAATAATAAAAATCTATAGGTACTCATGTTTTTTTTCCCCAGATTAATAACACGTTTTCTAGATGAAAAATAATTTATAAATGTTTTAGCTTTCTTATAAAAAAAAAATATTGGAATTTTAAAAAAATCATATGTGTATCATATTACAACTGAGGCAGTTAAGTCAAAGCGAATGTACATACATACATGCATACACGAAATAAAGTTTGTATTTGGTTTTTACTTAAATTTGTAGGAAATTGTGATTCATTCAAAAACAAAAAATTAAAATTTATTTATTCAACAATAACTTTAGTAAATTAATTTTGTTTTTGTATAACATTTGTATAACATTTATGTGTGTATGTACCATATTATGTATAGGCAAAACTTAATTCAAGTTAGTTATTCAAGGTATAAGGAAACTATGACACAAAAAAATTTAGTAATTAGTACAATTTCCCTTAAAAATTAGATAGCAGGGAGGAAATTGAATTATTGTAAAAGATTTCAGTTGGATCCCCTAAAATTTTTTTTGAAATTAATATTAAGAATCTCGTAGTATTTAATTAATTATATTATGTAAGATATAAGGTGAAATTATCATTAACAAAATATGTGATACATTAGAAAGGAATTTGCAAAATATACACACACTTACATATAGGTATACATGTATTTATTCTTATATGATTTGTATAACAGTAAGTAAAAGTATATTATATGAGTAAAAAAAAACTTGCATGCTTATTTTTTTAAGAGAATATTTAATATTAACATAACAGTTTTGTTAAGAAATTTTTTAATAAAATCTATAATTCATATCAAAATGATATATATTTTATATATGTACCTATTATTATATATAAGTATATTATGTACATATGTATGTACATGTTATTTACAAAATTTTCAACAAAAATTTCCTTTGACAATCTAGTTTTTTCTAGAAAAAAAACTTGAAAATAATAGCAAAAAATTTTAACATAATTATATAATAGTTTATAGCTAATTATAGAATAGATCACGTTAGGCATTCAACATACGAATATGTATTCCAATATACATATATGTATGTATATGTACTTTAATGTATATACTTATATCTTCTTAAGTATTATGAATAAAAATAAAATTTAAATACATATTACAAATAAAATTCAAATTTTAATTTATTACATCATAGAAAATTATAATATTATGTATGTATGTATATGTATGTACATATGTATATACAAAAAATATATTAATATTTTATTTCAATAGAAACAAAAGCAGAAAAGGAACACTACTAATATTATCTCATAATACTTATATGTTAATCCTACGCAAATAACATTTTCAATTCTATTAAAGAATAGAATTTCAAAGGAGCTCTATTGTAATGGAATATGTTTAGTATAAGGAAAAAAAAATAAACATGATTGTAAATGAAAAATTATTCAATTATTGAAAACAATTTGAATTGCTAATTTTTCTAAAAAAAAAAACAGTTAAAATAAAATGAAAACAAAATTTGAATTAATTTTAAGCATGTGCCAACCCTATACAATAAAATTTTTTAAATATAAAAATAAACTTTTAGTTATAGTAGGAGTTTTAATTTTCTATAGTTTCTAATTTAATTATTATATTTTTATTAAATTTTTAACCATGAAAGGAAATTCAAAGAGTGAGTTTTAATTGAAACTGGAATAAATTTTTATTATTTTTTATTTGCTTTTATTTGATTTTTATTAGAATGATGTAAGAAGGAATAATATAAATCAACTCAGCTTAGTAATTTAAAAGTTTAAATTTCTGGGTGTTTAAATAAAAAATAGAATAATTAGAAAAAATATTTAAAATAATATAAATTTTTTTTAAAATAAAATAAATATAAATTTTCTATATGTACATACATATATAAAAATTTAGTAATAGGGTATAATGTAAGAGTTATGTAAATTAAAATTTTAATTTACCTTTATTAATTAATTATTATTAATTAAGAAATACGGCTGTAATTGTAAAATAAACGTGTAAATTTCTTTTTAAATATCTATTAATTCCATTAAATGTAATTTACCTATGTATTTATGTACATATAGAGTATAACCTTCATAAAACGAATGATCATTTTTTCACAAAATTCGCTTGTATTAACGAGAATTTGGAGTATAAGAATTAAGGAGTATAAAAATACGGTTTCATAATTTTCAAACTCATTTAGCTGTACACAAAAAATTGTTTTTTTTTTTTTTTTTCTGAATTAGAATTTGTTTACGTTTTGTGTAAAAAATGAAAAAATTCACTAAACTACTAAAATATAAAATTCACAAATTTCAACAATTCAACAATTAATGAGGTTGTTTACATTCAAATTATTTTGTTTTATCGGCTTAAAAAAGGAAATTTCGTGTTACATCGTGATTTTCGTTTTAATTTCGTGTTACATAGTAAAATGGCAATTTTGATCCAAATGACTTGAAAGATGATTACGAATCAAAGAGGTTTCGTTTTAAGAGATCAAAAATATAAAATAATTGTTGCCATAATACAAAATGCAAGAATTCGTATTAAGAAAAATTTCGTCTTACAAGAGTTCGTGTTATTCGGATTTTACTGTATTCATATATAAAAAATAAAAATTATGTATACGCATGTATAATAAAGAATCAACATTTTTCCGTTATATTAATTATTGTTGTTTTATTCATCAAAAAAAAAAAATTATTAAAAGCACCATTTTTTTTTTAATATTATTCAGGTATTCAGGTATACAAGGCAAAAAAAAAATTAAAGAATTTAAATTATGTATTTTTTTTTTTTTTGTTGAATTCAAAATTAATTAAA